GGGACAGCCCGTGCACGGCCTCGTGTGCTGATGTGTTGGGCACATTCCTCTTTCATTTGTCAGGGTGACTTTCGATAAAGCATCTCTAACACCACGTTGTTTTTCCTTGAGTATTATTAAAGTGCTTGATTTATGCTAATTAAATACCAATTAACTTCGAAGCACTTAATGTGCTTTAAGGACATAAAATACATCTCATTCCCATTCAATTAAATTTGCATCAGGCCTGGACATGGGTCTGCACCGCGTTTTTATCAGCACATGGATCTGCTGGGATGCTGCCCGGGGTTTTCCAGGTTCTGGTGCCTGTTGGGGTGCAAAGGGCACCCATGGGGTGCTCGGGCATAGGGGGGTGAGGATCCTGCTGTCCGGACAGCCCCGGGGTGGTCATTCAGAGATGAGGGGCTGGACGGGCACCAACCCTCAGCCCCTGCGTGCTGGAAAGCTGGGATGGGCTCCGGGCACTTGGCAGAGGTGCCAAAGGCTGCACAGACACCAGGCACGTGCTGGCCCAGGTGCCACCAGCTGTACCCGGTGCCAGCACCTTGGGAACACAGGGAAAACGCTCAGGGTGCTGCAGAAGAACACCCAGCTCTTCCCTGTGCCAGCTGCTCACCAGCCCTCACCCGCAGTGAGGGAAGGATCGGCTCCCAGCATTTTCCCTGCCCAGGGCTGCAGGGGCCTGGCAGTGTGCTCCCCGAAACTTGCAGCCCCTGAGCAAAGGCAGCACCCTGAGGGGGCAGGATGGATGAACGCTTTTAAACGTGCCCCGTGAGGGCATCTGGAAATTCTCCTGTTGCTCCAAAGGCTTTCTGCAGCTGGAGAAAGGACAAAAAAAGGGGGGAAGGAATCCTTTCAGCTGGGTTTGCCCACCCACCAGGCAGACCCGCCGTGGCTGCAGGAGGTGAACCCCGAGCTCCCATCTCTGCTGCTGTGCCAGCCCGGTGCCGTGGGGCTCCCAGGGGTGCTCCCCGGGCCGGGTGGCAGCGTGGGCAGGGCACGGGGGACAGCGGAGGTGGGGATGACGCGCGGAGCCAGCTCTGCGCGTGAGCTGGCATCTGCATGTAGGAGCGGGGAGCGAGCGACGGGGGAGCGGAGCGGGGGTGGGATTCTGGGGAAGCTTCGGCAGCCGCGCCGGGCTGCGGATGGGCTCCTGCCGCCGGGCCCGGCTGTGCCCGCGGGGCTGGGCGGCATCCCTGGCCACTGTGCCACCTCCCCCGGTGCCGTGCCATGGCCCTCGACACCGGGACACGTCCCTGGCTGCTGTGCCATGTGCCCTGCTCCCGTGCCAAACGCCTCAGCACTGTCCAGCGTGCCCAGCACTGTTCTGTGTCCCCAGCAGTGCCCCGTGTCCCCCAGCCCCATGCCCGCTGTGGTCCCCAGACCCAAGCCCCGGGCCGGGGCAGCCCCACCAGGCTGTGCAGGACCCTGAGAACAAGAACAGCCCCACCAGGCTGTGCAGGACCCTGAGGACAAGAACAGCCCCACCAGGCTGTGCAGGACCTGAGGAGCAGGACAGCCCCACCAGGCTGTGCAGGACCCTGAGGAGTGGGACAGCCCCACCAGGCTGTGCAGGACCCTGAGGACAAGAACAGCCCCACCAGGCTGTGCAGGACCCTGAGGAGTGGGACAGCCCCACCACGTTTTGCTCCAGGCCCTCCTGCCAGAGGTCCGGCGGCGTTTCCCGGGGGCGGGGGGACATTCCCAGCCCGGTGCCGCGGGCCAGGCCGATCGGTGCCCCTGCCACCGTTCCTGCTCTGCCATCTCCCTTCGGCAGAGCGGGAACGGCCCTGGAGCAAGGCTGGTGGGAGGGGAATGTGGGAAGAGGGGTTTTCTCCCCCTCCCCAACCCGTTCCACCCCACTTCTCCTTCCACTCCCTCCACTGATCTTTCATTTCCTCCCATTGGCATCTCCCTGGAGAGCGGCTGGCACAGAGGTGCCCCCCGGGGACCCCCGGATCCCCGGAGCCCCGTTCCCCGCAGCGGAGGGGGAGCAGAGCCCCCTCCTCACTGCCGACATCCAGCCTGGCTTCCCCGGGCACCGGCGGCTTCCCGTGCCCAGCGCCGCCCCACCTGAAGGATTTACATTTTAAAGGGCTTTTAGAACGGATTTGCACAGACATTTATTTGCAAGTGTTATTTTTTTTCCCCAGCTTTTGCCACTTCGAGTGTTTGTGGAGAAGAAATAACAGACAAACCACGGCAGGGAAAGCCTCGGAGAGCTCGCTGCTGCTGATGCAGATACGGTGCGAGCGGCAGCGCAGGGTCACAGCGGCGATCCCCAGCGACAGCCGCGCTGCTGCCGCTCCCCGCAGCCTTCCCCAGCTTCGGCAGCTCCGGGCTCGCACTCTGGGGCAGCGGGCACCGGTGCGAGCCCGGGGCACCGCCGAGCCAGCGCCGGGCCCCGGGGGCCGCGGGCCGGCGGGAGGAAGGCTCGGGAGGGGAACGCTGACGGTGCTCTGCGCCGGCAGCAGCCAGAATGCTGCACAATAAATAGCCATTTTAATTACCGCACAACATTGACAAGATTGCTTCCTCATTTGGGAAATTAAAACAAATGCTCCATCAAAATGATCAACATTGCAGGGAGAGGCGCGGGGCTGCTGGAGGAATCCTCGGGCTGCGGACGGAGGCGGAGTTGGCACCTCGCTGCCGCCGGGGCCGCCGTGTGCCCGCGGTGCCCGGCGGGACCCGCCGGCTCTGGCAGCTCGGAGGGAGCCCCGGGAGCAGCGCGGGGATGCGGGGCTGCCCCCCCAGCCCGGCCGTGCTTCGGAGCGGCTGGGTGGGTGGGAGGCTGACCCCGCTCGCTGCCGGGACGTGGCTGTCCCCTGCCCGGTCTGACGGGGTGCCGGGTCCCTCCCGCCCGGGCCGGGGGCCGCAGGGGCCGCGTTGAGTCCCCGCCGTGCTTCTCGCAGCCTGAGCGCCCCCGGGATGTCCCTGTGGGCGGGGGCGGCCTCTGGGGACTGAACCCCCCAGGGCTGCTCTTCTCCCAGCCCCCCTCCCATTCCGAGCTCTTCCCTCAGCTCCATTCTTCCTTGGTTTTGGTGGGGTTTTTTTCCTTTTTTTTTTTTTTTTTTTTTTTTTTTTTTTTTTTGCAGCCCTCCCGTTGCCATGGGAACGGTGACATTCCGAGCCGGGCGGAGCGGAGGGAGCGCGGCCGCCGGGGCCGCCCCAGACACGGACACGGACACGGACACGGACACGGACACGGACACGGACACGGGCGGGGTCCCACGGCTGCGGGATCCCGGGGATGGGGGTCCCCGCGTCGGGGAATTCCCCTGGAGCGCTCCTACTCCAGCGGAAAGAGCAGCGGGGTTCAATTACAGCCGGGCACCCGCTGCCAGGCCGGAGAGTCCTTTCAGGGCAGGAAATTGCAGCGTGAATGAGCGGGGGGCAGAGCAGGACGGCCCTTAGCATCCAAATTATCCTTAATAAAGGAGCTCGCGGGACCTGGTGGATGCGATCCGGGAAAATTTGGGTCCTGGGCGTGCAGGAGTCCTGGGTTTCATGGGGACACCGGGAGAGGGAACAGGGAGGGAGAGCCGGGGATGCCGTGTGGCAGTGCCAACCCGACCCCCGAGGGGCAGGGCACAGCCTGGGCACGGCTCAGAAGCCCCGGGCAGGGCACAGACAGGGGGTGGCCACGGCCCGATGGCCAAAAAACCCCGCGGACACCACCACGGGAAAAGCCCCGGACACCATCCCGGGAAAAGCCCCGGACACCA